TCGACTCTATGGCACTTAACAATATTACCCAGTAGTTTTTAAGCAGGGTGTTATCCAATGTCCATGTATTTGATTTTTTTTCTCCTTGATTTTCCTATTGTTCATTTCTAATTTCATAGCACTGTAATCTGAGAAGATGCTTTTGTAGTATTTTGATGTTTTTAAATTTATTGAGGTTTCCTTTGTAGCCTAACATGTGGTCTATTCTGGAGAATACCCCTGTGCACTGGAAAATAATGTGTATTTTGTTGTTATTGGATTGAGTGCTCTGTATATGTCTATGAGGTCAAGTTGATTGTATTGTTTAGTTCTTCTATGTCTTTGTTGAGTTTTCTAGTTGTTTGAGAGTGGGTGTATTAAAATCTCCTACTATGATTGTGGTGTGCCATGTAAATCTTGATGGAAGCTTAAAGTCTCATCTTTTTTCCCATGGAATGGCTGGTAGTTTCGACTGCTTACCTTGAGGTTAGCAGCCCAACTCATAACCACTATGCTACCAGTGGAGTTGTCTATTTCTTTCTTCAGTTCTGTTAGTTTGACTTAGGTATTATATATTTTGAGACTCTGTCCTAGGGAACATAGGTGTTACTGTTATGTCCTCTTGTTCAGTTGACTCTGTAATCATGATATAATGTTCTTCTTTACACTTTATGCTGTTTATCAGAGATAAATATTGCTACTCATGCTCACTTTTGATTGTCATTAGTTTAATATATTTTTTCCTTTGATTTTTACTCTGTATTTGTCTTTGTGTATAAGGTGTTTCTTGTAGACAAATTGAAAAATCCTGTTTTCTTATACCTTCTACTACTCTCTATCTTTTACAGGTCTATTTATTCCATCTACATCTTTGCCATTTCTGTTGTGCTAAGGAGCTCTGGTACCGTAGTAGTTACAAGTCAGGCTACTAACCTAAAGTCAGTGGTTCCACGGGAGGAAGATGAAGCTTTCTGCTCCCGTAAAGATTTACAATCTCGGAAATCCTATACAAGGTCACTATGAGTCACTATGGGTTATTAAACAACAAATGTTTACTAACAGTCCTGGTATGGCCACTGTAGGAAAGCACTAGACTGCTAACATCAAGGTCAGCAGTTCAAATCCACCAGATTCTCCTTGGAAATTCCATGTGGGGTTGCTATGAGTTGGAATGGATTTTACAGCACTTAGCAACAAATGTTTACTAAATCTTTGTGACTTTCCTCTTTTTTCTTTTGATATGAAGGTGTATTAATTTTCTTTGAGTTCACTCTGTATTTTATAAATTTTCTCCAGTTTAAAATAGTCTGTTTCATCTTGTAATCTACTTGACTTCCTCAACATTTGGTATTTCTGTATGTATACTATTCCCTTCTTTTGCTTTGTAGTTGACTGCATTATATATTGATATCTCTAGTTCCCTACTTTCACTCTTGTAGGTTTGTTTTACTTTATATACTTCTATATCTATATCAGAAGGAGCTCTGGTAGCGTAGTGGTTACGAATCGGGCTGCGAACCTTAAGGTCAGTGGTTCGAAACTACCAGCCGCTCCGCGGGAGAAAGATGAGGCTTTCTACTCCTGTAAAGATTTACACCCTCGGAAACCCTGTACAGGGTCGCTATGGGTCGGAACCGACTCGAAGGCACTTAACAACAACATATCTATATCAGAGTCATGGTGTGGCACTGTAGGATAAGCACTGGACTGCAAGTCAGTTTGAACTGCAAGGTCAGCAGTTCAAACACAGAAACCCTATACAGAGTCATTATGAGTTGGAATTGACTGGATGATACTTAACAGCAACATCTTTCTCCCTTGGAGCGACTGGCCGGCTTGAACCATGGAGCTTGTGTTTTGCAATCCAATGCTTATTGTATGAAGCCACTGTGCTCCAAAGTTACAGGTGCAGACCTATTTGAAATACATACATATGTACAAATTGACTTTAAACAACCAAATATCTAATACCATTATAGCCAGACAACTCTTGTAATTATATTTGGATTAAAAAGTGATTAGCCAATTGGATTGCATAATTAAGGGAATTACATAAGTAGCAGAAGGTTAAAATGATTGGGTGGAAAACTTTTGGTGCCATAATTCCTTTGCCTAAGGGAGGATTTTAAAAATAAGATGAGTCAGTGGTAGAGGAGAAAAGGAGAAGCGGGAGGAGATGAGCTAAGAGGAGGGAAACTAACAGCTTTTAGAACACACAAACCTAAGTAGAGACATTCATTCAGTGGATCAACACAGATGATCACTTTTGTGCTTCTAAAAGTCTTAATTTAAAACTTCTGCTTTGCTCATATGGTAGAATCAAATCTTGTGGGCAATCACCCCACAACCACAATGATCTTCTGAAATACGCATCTGATCATATTTCTTGCTTAAAACTCTTGTCTCTACTGCATAAAATCCATGATTTTATGCCCTCTCAGTGACTTGGTCTCTTTGCCCACCTGTCCCTTCCCTCTGCCTACTGCTTAAGTACTTTCAGACTTCCAGAGAAACCATTTCACAAGGTATGCATTTTCTCCTTAACCTGGAATGTATCTCCAGGTTTGCCTGATCAGCAATGATTTACTTTTGAAAATGTTTTCATCTGCCAGGAAGCCTTCCTTGGCCTGAGATTCATTCCAGTGACAACCCCTGCCCTTTCTAGCTTTGTATATATCTTTTCTTTAAAAAATCACGTTCCTATCTACTTATAGAGCTCTGGTGTGCTGCTGTAGACTGGTAACCCCAAAGTTAGCAGTCCAAACCCACCAGTCACACTTGGAATCCCTACAAAGGGTTACTAATTTGGAACTCATTTGACAGTGTATCATATCCTTTTACTGTCCCATATAACTCTGTTTTATTTTGATGCATCAATCTCCTAGTTCTGATGGTACTATTTAATCCTTCTATTTTCAACCCCTGTACCTGGGTGGTGCAAACTGGTAAGATGCTCAGCTACTAACCCAAAACTTGGAGGTTGGAGGTTCAAGTCTGCCCAAAGGAACCTTGGAAGAATGGCCCGATGATCTACATAAGAAAAATCAATCACTGAAAACGCTACGGACTATAGTTCTGTTAAGGAGCTCTGGTCGTGTGTTGTTGTTGTCAGGTGCCATCGAGTCGGAACCGACTCATAGCGACACCATGCACAGCAGAATGAAACAATGTCTGATCCTGGGCCAACCTTACTACTGCTGCCACACTTGAGTCCATCAATGATGGACCTGGCCAGTCCATTGCCACCTGGCCAATCCATCTCATTAGAGGTCTTCCTCTTTTTCTCTGACCCTCCACCTTACCCAACATGACATCCTTCTTCAACGATTGTTTCCTCCGGACAATATGTCCAAAGTAGGAGAGACGAAGCTTAGCCATCCTGGCCTCCAAAGAGCACTCTGGCTGCACTTCTTCCAAAACAGATCTACTGGTTCTTTTGGCAGTCCATGGCACTTTCAGTATTCTCCTCCAACACCACAACTCAAAGGCATCAATTTTTCTACAATCTTCCTTATTCACTGTCCAGCTTTCGCATCCATATGAAGCTATTGAAAACACAATGGCCTGGGTCAGGCGCACCTTAGTCCTCAAGCTGACATCTCTGTAGTGTAGTGGTTACGAATGGGGCTGCTAACTTCAAGGTCAGCAGTTCGAAACTACCAGCCATTCTATGGGAGAAAGATGAGGCTTTTTGCTCCCATAAAGATTTACAGCCTCGTGCAGGGTCCCTGTGAGTTGGGACCAACTCCATGGCACATAACCAAAGTTCTCTATTGGGGTGCACATCCTTTCACCATGAATCAGGGTTCACTGAATGGTAGCTGGTTATTCTCAATACCGTGTGATTCAAATGGTTAAAAGCCCAGCTACTACCAGAAACAGCCAAGGTTCAAACCAACCCAGAGATATTGAAAGAGAGGCCTGTGATCTGCTTCTGAAAGGTCCCAGTCCTGGAAACTACTCTGCAAGATTTGGGACTTGAAAAAAAACCAACAACAGCCCCCCGAGCTGTTCGTGTGGCTGAGTGTCTGAATAAATGGCATTTAATTACCAGTGATCCAATGACCTCACAACACTTGCAGGACTCAGAATCCATAAAGTATATCAATCTCAATGCTTGAAAGTGCCCCCAGAACACAGAGCCCCTTTGCAGGGTTTGAAATCTATCAAGTCACCTTTACTCATTTTAGGTCTTGACTCCAAGCCTAATTTAGCTCCACTGGAGAAAGGGAAGTCTAATTTCTAGGAAATGAATACTGAAAGCTCACTTTGATGAAAAAACGGAACCGGCAGTTCCACTCTGACTCCCATGTTGACCTGCTTTCGTAACAGTGTACAGGTGGTGACCATATCAGTGTGTTGGTGGCCAGTAGGGCGTCATGGAACACTTCTGCCAGGGACTTCTGCTGGGACCTCCACAACAGCACCAATACCTACAGCGGCCAGACAGCAGAATGGGGTGAATGTCACCACGTGGTGGTCACCTTATCCCCTTCGACGCTTGGTAGCGGGACCTCGGAGGGGAAGCCCTCGAGGTTCGAAGGAGGGGCCTGGAGGAGTTCATCCATTTCTCTGCGAGTTGAGCAAGAGCACAGGCTCGGGTGAGGCGCCCGGGCAGGCATTCTTGCTGCGTCCCCGCCTCCCCGTCTGCTCTCCCGCGCTACCCTTGCAGTCTCCGAACCAAAAGCGAAAGGAGCTCGACCGCCGCGTCCCACCAGCCCCCGCGTCGGCTCCACGGGTGGCTCGCTGCTCGCCTCTCAGGCGGTCGGGCCGCCGCTTTGTGACTTCACCCATTTCGCAACAAGCCCGGGTGGCCCGCGCCCCACCCACCCTAGGCCCGCCGCCTCGCCTCCCGCTCCTCGCTTGGCTTCTTGCGCTTCCCCTCCCTCCGGGGCCGGGTTTGTCCTGGCCGTCGCAAAGCCTCGGTCCGGCCGCCCGTCGCTGTCCGCTCCTGGCAGCCCTGCGCCCCCGCGCCCCGGCGGGACTGAGCGTAGCGTCTTCCCGGCAGCGGCGTCGCAGCGATGCTGTGCTTCTTGAGGGGCATGGCCTTCGTCCCCTTCCTCCTGGTGACCTGGTCGTCCGCCGCCTTCATCATCTCCTACGTGGTCGCAGTGCTATCGGGGCACGTTAACCCCTTCCTCCCCTACATCAGGTGAGGGGCGGGGTGGGCGGCAGGGGACCAGGGATCAGACATCGCTGAGGATGAGGAGGCAAGGGGTTCAGACGCTGCTGGAGTCGTTCTGGGGAAAGACCTAGGGTCTGGCGAGGAGTTGAGGATGTTTCCGGAAGGCACAGGGTGTATTTGGGACCTGGGGTACCGGGCTGAGAGAGCACTGAGCCCCACTTTAACATTCACTACTCTGAACACTGAATAGGGTGCCATCAGGAGGGGACTCTGGGTAGATAGTATAACTTTCAACCTGGTATGGAGCAGAATCTTGGGAAAACACTTCTTTGGTAATATTGAAATCATCCAATGTCGTGATCCAACTCACAAAACCCAATCCATTGCCATAGAGTCTATTCCTACTCATAGCAACCCTTTAGGACAGAATCGAACTCCATACGTTTCTGAGGCTGTAAATCTTTATAAGGGAGCGCGTTGGCTGTGGACGATAAGCACTGGACTGCAAACCACAAGGTCAGCGGTTCGAGCCCACCAGCTACCAACCGCTCTGTGAGAGGAAGATGAAGTTTTTCTACTCCCGCAAACATGTACAGCTTCGGAAACCCTATGTTGTTCTTGTTAAGTGCCCTCGAGTTGGTTGTGACTCACAGCGACACTGTATGGAGTTTCCGAGTTTCGAAGTCCAGTGTATAGACCACACTCGGAGTCCTATTAGTTGCTATTAGTCGGAACCAATTCGATGACACTTAGCAACAACGCAACAACAAATCTTTACGGGAGTCGAACCTACTCTATTTTAGTTTATCAGTCCAGTGCTTGGAGTCCTTGTGTTGCGCTGTGGGTTAATGCGCTGGACTGCAAAGTCGATTTGAACCACAAGGTGGCAGTTCAAGCTCACCAGCCGCTCCTCGTGAACCCTACACTGGGTCGCTATGCGTCGGAACCGACTGGACGGCACTTAATAAACAAAATGCTTAACCCACTCTACCTGTTTTCTAGGAGCGACTGATGGGTTTGAACTGCAGACCTTACAATTAGCTTACCCTACAGCGCCACACCAGGTCATGATTGTTGTTGCTAAGTGCTGAGAAGTTGCAGGAGCAGAAGGCGTCATCTTTTGCCAGTGGAGTGGCCGTTACTTATCCTATGGAGCCACCTCGCTTCCCCAGGTCATGATGTTATTTGAGTCAGAGATATTGTGCTAAATAGTTTATATTATTTCAAGTCTGCCTCCAAACATGTCCATAAAGTAGAACGTTAGCCCCATTTTTCATCCAAGGAAACTGAGATTTAAACAAATGACAAAGTGCCATCAATGTGATGCTGATGTCATAGCTAATAAGTGAAGGCAAGAACTCATAGCTAGTTCTGTCCCACGCCTGTGGCAACACTATGCTCTGTCTATGCCCTTGGGAGTGTGATTTAGGCTTTCCCTGCATGGAGCTCCGACGTCCCCACTCGAAGTCAGAGCTCTCAAATTGTGGTGCCATTTAACCATGATCACTTTTTGTATGTTTTGGTCCCCACTTTTCCTGAGGGTCACTTTTTCAGTGCCAGGGTCAGTGTCCTGACCCTCTTTCTTTCTTTAACTTTTTTAATGTGAATTGAGTGAAGGTTTACAGAGCAGATCTTCAGTTTTACATTGAGCAAAGCATACACTTCCTCTCATCTCAACGACTGCAGTCCCCTCCATGTATGAATTCTTGCCTTCAACACTTGTCCCACTTCCTTCTTGTGTTTCCTGTTTCCATTCTTTCTTCTTTCCCAACCCTTCTGAATGTTGTCTATGGGTCAATGCTGTCCTTATGATCTTGAATGATTGACCATTCTAGGTGTGTGTACCTTACTAAATTTGCTGCCCCCCCCCCCACCTGACCCTCTTTCTATAGCACCTAGTTCTGTAACTTACACATCATGGACATTCCTTAAAATTATAAGGACTCATTCTCATTTAAGTTGAATTGATTCTTACTCATGATCACTCCTTGTGTATCAGAGTAGAAGTGTGCTCTACAGGACTTTTGATGGCTGATTTTTGGAAGCAAATCGTCAGACTTTTCTTCTGAGGTGCCTCTTGAACCTCTAATCTTTTGGTTAGCATCTGAGTGTGATAACTGTTTGTACCACCCAGGGACTCCCAGACCTTATCTAAGTGACCAGAAACCCCTGGATCTACATAAAGATAACACCTAAGAATGTTTACCACTTTGTGGCAGAGATTATTAGGTTTCTCCCTCCCTGTAGCCTTTTCACAGTGAGCAATGTTTCTGCTTTGCATATGTGTATGTGTCAAGGGGAGGGGTGAGGAGGGAAAAAGGGGCAAGGCAAGAGAGGAGTAGTTTTATGATGCAAAGATGAGATCAGTATGGAGAATAGTGCGCAGAAATATATCTGAGGAAATTATTGTGGTTTTGCCCACGCAAAAAGAGATGTTTCTATACTTGGAGGAGACTTTCTGATTAGGTCTTTTGCCCCCGCAGAAATGTGGGCTTAGTTTCTCATCAGAGCATTTGGTTTGTAGAAAACTGTTTTACAGTGATAATTCGAACTCCATTTTGAACTCTGAATACATTCAGCCTCCTCAACTGAGTTCATTATGACTCCAAACCTGCAAGATGAAAAACCTTACCCTCAGGCAAAGTATATTATCAATCCCTAGCGTCCCCAAGGAGCTCTGGTAGCATAGTGGTTACGAATCAGGCAGCAGTTTGAAACTACCAGCTGTTCCGTGGGAGAATCAGATGAGGTTTTTTACTCCTGTAAATATTTACAGCCTCGGAAACCCTGTACAGGGCCGCTATGAGTCGGAACCAACTCCATGGCACATAACAACAACAACAACAAGTGTGCCCAAGGATGGGTAATCTTGCCTGGACATGCCTTTACTGTAAATTGGGATGCTAGGGTTGGATGGTTATGAGTCATGTCCTAACCATCCAGTAGCCAGGTGATCCAAGGACCTCAGAACTGATCCTGAAAAAATTTATTTAAATGCAGTTGTGTACACATCTCTATCATGGTCCTTTTTTTGGCTTCTATAGTCCTTCCTGGAGCCCTGGTGTGGCGCCAGACTGCAAAGGTTGGCGGTTCAAGCTCACCAGTTGTTCCTCAGAAAACCCTGTATAGAGTCGCTATGGGTCAGATCTGACTCAACGGCACTTAACAACAACAATATAGTCCTTCCTGCTTTAGTGATGAATTGAGAAGCTGCCAATCCTGATTTTGTAGCCATTTCTGTGGTCTGTAATTAATTAGCCACACGGTCATGAATCCTTTGGACACAGTTATGGCCTCATGCTAATGATTTGTCTTTATTTCGTCTTTGTCCTGTTCAAAACTTATTAAAGGGGGGAGGTAGAAAATATATCTGAATTTGGGGACTTCCCTAGAATAGTTCCAAGTGCAAAATCTTTCAGAATCAGGGTTGATCCTCTTCTTGTTATTAGGTGCCCTTCAGTTGGTTCTGACTTAGTTATCCTACGTACAAGAAGAAGAAATTGCCCGGTCCTCTACTGTTCTTGGAGTCCTGGTGTGGCACTGTGGATTAATGCACCAGACTGCAAAGCCATTTGAACTGCAAGGTTGGCAGTTCAAGCTCACCAGTCACTCCTTGGAAATCCTCCCTATCCAGGGTTGCTATGGGTCGGAACCGGCTCGATGGCACTTAACAACAACAACTACTGTTCTCACAATTGTTGCAGCCACTGAGTTAATCCATTTCATTGTATGTGTGGCGTCGTCCTCATTTCTACGGATCCTCTGCTTTACCAAGCATGATGTCCTCTTTCAAGGACTGGTCCTTCCTGACAACATGTCTGTCAGAATTGAATTGTGTCCTTCCCCTTCCCCACAAATATGTGTCAGCTTGTTTAGGCCGTGTGCAAAAAATATGGCACCAAACCATTTTTTTTCCTGCAGCCCTCTATTGAGTTTGATCATTTGTTGCCGTGGCCACACAGAATTCAGAAACTACACTCACAGAAACTGTGCTTAGGGCACAGTTGTTCCTGGCCGTTACTGATAAATGCCCACAGGACACACCACTCCATCATAAACCTGAGACGGAAAGCACTTGGCTCTAGCTCCTGGGGTCGGCAAACCTAGCCCCTTTCCCCCCCACACACACTTAAGTGTCCGGAGGCACCCCGCTCTACAAGTAAGCTTCCTGCCCAAAGTCACTCCGATTTACTTGCTCTGTGGGCTGGAAGCCCGTGCTCTGCCTGGTGCTCTGGTTTTGGGTTCTGCTGCTGGTCTTCTGTTTCTGTCCCTGGGTCAAGAAAGTTCAGTGCCCAGGGAACTTGGGGTCCAAAGGACAAGCTCCACTTCTGGCTCTTCTTTTCTGATGGTGAGATCCCTTCTCTTGCCTCTGAGATGGCTCATTTTATACCTATGCTAGTGTCTCAAGTTTTTACAGTTACAGTGAACTCTGTTAACATCCATAACTGAATCATGTCATTCTATCAATAGCTTCTTCCACTTTCTCTCACCGAGACACAACAGGGCAGAAACATTGTTTGGTGGGGTTACAGACCATGACTAGAAGAAATATTAGATAATTCACTACACCACAGGCAACCCCCTGTCTCTTCTACCCACGATCCCATTCATAAATGATGGTTAACTTTCCCCATATCATTTTAACTGTAAGCACACTCATGAAAGCTTGCAAGCCAGCTGCCTCATGTCTTTATCTTCTCTGATTTTAGATACCCAATTTCTAAATTGCCGGTACCTATCAATCCAGTACTCTCAGGAGGCAGATATATTCCTTGATACAAAGAATCTTCTGTTCTTGTTGGAACTTTAGGTATATGCATTTATAAGCAATGTGTCGTCATCAGCAACTGACCCAGTTCACTCATACTCTCTCTTAACACTGGCCCTCACCACAACCCCCTTGGGCTTGGTTAGTGTCTATAGACTCAGGAGCCCACCCAGTTCTCAAAACTTCAGCCAGCCCTCCCTCTTCTCTCAACTCATTTTTTCATTGCTGCAGTCTCCCCTACTTCCATTCATCAGGTGGATCCAAGTGGTCACCAGTGAGCAGATTAGGCTGTCTGCTTGCCAGCTCCTTTTAACTTTCGGTTTTACGATGGAATTTTCCAGATGGGCAGACTTTTTCTGCCTTGATGTATAATCCAACAAGCAAACTGCTTGCCCAATATTCAAAATGCCAAACATTCTTTCTGCATGTCTTTCCGTCAAAGGTAAATCTGTTCTCTCAGCAGTTCTGGGTGGGACTCAGGTTTGCACTTAAACAGATTAAGGGGACACTGCGTGGTTTAAAATCAGGTAAGGTATGCACTAGCACTGTACTCTTTCACCAGACTTATTCAATATGTATGCTAAGCTAATAATTATAGAAGCTGTATTATATGAAGAAGAATGTGGCATCAGGATTGGAGTTAGACTCATTAACAACCAGCGATATACAGATGATACAACCTTGCTTGCTGGAAGTGCGGAGGACTTAAAATTCTTACTGAAGATCAAAGACCACAACCTTCAATATGTGTTGCACAAGTAAAGACACTTGTGTTCCACAGGGATTGCAATAGTTAATTTTTCAGCAATAGGTTGCCAGGCTTTTCTGAAGTGCCTCTAGGTGGACTGGATCTTGGCTCCTCCAACCTCCCTTAACAGCTTGCACCACCTATGCCCCCCTTGAGCACTTACTATGGCTACTGTTACTCTGGTGTCAAATCTTTGCCTTCGGGCAGGGCAGACGGCTTTGAGACAGGCTTGATAAGATTTACCTTGGTCCTTGCAGTGGATGGTTCGCAGAATGAACCTCCTTTTACATGCTAACAGCAATCTGATGTTGTAACTAAATAAGTTGAACTCTTTAAATATGAGCAGAACCTTCTGGAGAAACTCCCTCTACTATGACATTAGATGGAGTCCTAGTATGGCACTGTGGATTAATGTGCTGGACTACAAAGACGTTTGAACCACAAGGTCAGGGGTTCAAGCTCACCAGCCATTTCTTGGAAACTCTATACGGGGTTGCTATGGGTCGGAACCGACTTGATGGCACTTAACAACAACAACAATATGACAGAGGAGTCCTGGTGTAGTTCTGTAAGATAAACACTGGACTACTAACCTCAGGGTTGGTGGTTCAAACCCACCATCCACTCCATGGTGGTGGTTATGTGCCGTGGAATCGGTTCCGACTCATAGCAAATCTGCTGCACAGGAATTTTTAAAGTGTTGAAGAGCAGAGATGTCAGCTTGAGGACTAAGGTGCACCTGACCCAAGCCATGGTATTTTCAATAACCTCATATGGATGCGAAAGCTGGACAGTGAATAAGGAAGACCATAGAAGAATTGATGCCTTTGAGTTGTGGTGTTGGAGGAGAATACTAAAAGTGCCATGGATTGCCAAAAGAACCAATAAATCTATTTTGCAAGAAGTGCAGCCAGAGTGCTCCTTGGAGGCCAGGATGGCTAAGCTTCGTCTCTCGTACTTTGGACATATTGTCAGGAGAGAACAGTCACTGGAGAAGGATGTTATGCTGGGTAAGATGGAGGGTCAGAGAAAAAGAGGAAGACCCCCAATGAGATGGATCAGCCAGGTGGCATCATTGATGGCGTCAAGTGTGGCAGTGGTGGTGAGCTTGGCCCAGGATCGGATATTGTTTCGTTCTGCTGTGCATGGGGTCACTGTGAGTCGGTTCCGACTCGATGGCACCTGACAACAACAACGTAGGGTTTTTGAGGCTGTAAATCTTTACAGGAGCAGGAAGCCTTATCTTTCTCCTGTGAAACTGCTGGTAGTTTCAAACTGCTGATTTTGAGGTTTGCAGTCCTATTCGTAACCACTATACGCTACCAAGAGCTCCTTGGAAAACCTTGAAAGGTCGCTATGAGTTGGAACCAACTCAATGGTACATAACAACAACATGGCATTAGAACTTATCTTCTTTATCAGATATTGTCTTATGACCTTGTTTTTCTTCAGTATATTGGATACATGAGCAAGTGGCTGTTATATGGATAAATAGGCTCAACCTCATGAATAGGAAGAAAAATTCAACCTAAAACTTCCCTTATACCCCGCTGCATCTGTTGGATTGGCAGAGATCCAAATGTTTGATTACACACTGTTGGTGAGACAAATAAACCTCAAAAGATTAGATTTTATAAGACCACACCTAAATTCTCTAGTGCATTCATACTTAATTTGTATAAACAGTGTTTTATAGCCCTCTTAGGCTATCTTGCATCAACTTTACTGATCAACTCGTGGCTAGTAGCCAGCTCTCTTATTATCTTCTTTGACAAGTGCCCCATACTTCCAGAATATTCTGCGGCCTTTTATTTATTTTTTAATGGCTACAAAATTATAGAAACCTTTATTAAACAAAACAAAAAAATTTTCTTAAATGAAGCTATTGTTTCTTACCACATCCTCCAAGAATGTATACGTATTTTTATTTTTTAAGTTTTTACTAGGAATTGAATGAAAGTTTACAGGCAAGATCATCAGTTTTACACTTAACAAATCATCTTCTTTGTTTCATCTCAATGATTGCAATCCCCTCCATGCAACATTTATCTCACTTCTTCCTGTAGTTCCCAGTTCTGTTCTACCCATTGTCCCAGCCCTTCAACTTTGTCCTTAGGTAAATATTACCCTTTTGATTTTGAATGATTAACCATTCCATGGTGAGCATATCTTATTAGTATTGCTGTCTCTCCCCCCATTCCCCCACCCCCACCATATACCTATCTACTCCTTGGCTAAAAATGGGGCCATGAAGGTGAGTTCCTTTCCAGACCTGAAGGGTGGTTGAGGGCCATAGTCTAAGATTCTTCCAGTCTCTTTCTGACCAGTAAGCATAGGCTTTTTGTTACAATTTTGAGTTTTGTTATACATTTTCTCCCTCTCTATTTGGGGCCTTCTAATGTGGTCCCTTTCAGAGCAGTTGGTAGTAGTATCTGAGCACTATTTAGTTCTTTTGGTCTCAGGGGCTGGAGACTGAGGTTTTGTGGCCCACTGCTCCTCTGGAGTAATTGTTTTCATGCATCTTTAATTTTCTTTACTCTTATTTTCTCCAGACGGGGAGAGACAAATAATTGCACCATAACTGGTTGCTCACAAGCAGTGGTTGAGAAAGAGAAGCAGACAAAAGGAAGGAAAAACGAAAGCCAAGATACAAAATAAAGAAGAGGAATAAACAATAAATAAGCAAAAACAATGAAAAGAAACAACCAGGGCAGGTGCCAGACCTAGAGAGGAGAAAATTCTGTGGTCTCCTGCCAGCCAAGGACCTCACATCCTGGGTCGTCAAGCCATGAGAATTGATAACACTCTTAACCCTAGATGGAGTTCCTAAAGGGCGAGGTGTTGTCTGTCTTAGGCACTGAATCTGGAAGTAGCTTTGGAATACTCATTCTTCACAATATCATACATAGCTTGTCATAATCCACACAGTCGAAAGTCTGCATAGTCAATAAAGCACAAGTAAACATCTTTCTGGTATTTTCTATTTTCAGCCAAGATTCATCTGATGTCAGTACTAATATACGTTCGTTTCCTGTCCTCTTCTGAACCCAGCTTGAGTTTCTGGCTGTGTTCTGTTGTGCTGTTGCAGGTGTTGAATTCTCTTCAACAAAATTTTACTTGCGTATATGGATATTAATGATATTGTTCCATAACTTCTGCATTCTGTTAGGGCACCTCTCTTTGGAGTAGGCACACATATGGATCTCTTCCAGTCAGTTGACCAGGTAGCTGCCTTACAAATTTTCTGGCATAGATGAATGAGCACCTCCAGTGCTGCAGCCGCTGGTTGAGAGATTTCAATTTGTATTCTGTCAGTTCCTAGAGCTTTTTTTTTTTTGGCTAATGCCTTCAGTGCAATTTGGACTTCTTCCTTCAGTACCATTGGCTCTTGATCATATGCTACCTCTTGAAGTGTTTGAACATTGACCACTTCTTTTTGGTACAATGAGTCTGTGTATTCCTTCCATCTTCTTTTGAGACTTCTGCATCATTCATTATTTTGCTTGTGGAGTCCTTCAATATTGCAAGTTGAGGCTTCAATTTTTCATGAGTTGTTTCAGCTTGAGAAATGCTGAGCATGTCTTCCTTTTTTGGTTTATAACTCCGGGTCTGCAGTGTACCCATGGGAAAATGCTGCCTTTTGATCTCAAATGGTTAAGAAGTGCATACCTCCTTAGTATTATTGTTCACAGTGTTTTTGTTGTGCGCTCTTGAGGAGGTTCCAGGGTTATCAAGGCTACAAATCTAGTTTACTAGATCAGAAAACTTTTATCTTTCTCTCTCAGAGCAATTTGTGGACTTGAACTGCTGACCTTATAGTTTAGCAGCTCAACACATAATCAATTCACCATGGCGTCCCTATTGTTCACTTTATTGTTGTTGTTGTTGTTAAGTACCATAAAGTCAGTTCTGACCCATAGCAACCCCTCATAGGGTTTCACCAGGAGCGCCTGGTGAGCTTGAAATGCTGACCTTGCAGTTACAATTGGCTTTGTAGTCCAGTGCATTAGCCCACAGTGCCATATGAGGGCTCCACTTTCTAGAACTGTAAATTATTTGGCTTATAATTGAGCCATGGGGGTGAGTTCAGTTCCAGCCCTAAAGGGTGGCTAAGGGCCATAGTCTGGGGGGTCCCACCAGTCTCTGGCTGACCAGTAATCCTGGTCTGTTTTTTATGATTTTGAGTTCTGTTCTATATCTTTCTCCGAATCTATTCAGGCACTTCCAATGTGATCTCTTTCAGAGTGATTTGTAGTGGTAACTGAGAACCATCTAGTTCTTTTGGTCTCAGAGGCTGGTGACTGAGGTTTTGTGGCCCATTGACTCTCTACAGTAATTGTTTACATGCATCTTTGGTTTTCCTTACTCTTATTTTTCTCTAGACAGGGAGAGATCATGAAGTGCACCTTAAGTGGCTGCTCACAAGCTTTTGTTGTTGTTAGGTGCCATGGAGTTGGTACTGACCCATAGTGACCTTATGCACAGCAGAATGAAACACTGCCCAATCCTGGGCCAACCTCACTACTGTTGCCACGCTTGAGTCCGTCGATGCTGTCACTTGGCCAATCCATCTCATTGGGGGTCTTCCTCTTTTTCTCTGACCCTCCATCTTACCAAGCATGATATCCTTCTCCAGCGACTGGTCCCTCCTGACAATATGTCCCAAGTATGAGAGACAAAGTTTGGCCATCTTGGCCTCCAAGGAGCACTCTGGCTGCACTTCTCCCAAAATGGATCTATTGATTCTTTTGGCAGCCCATGGCACTTGCAATATTGTCC